CATTTAATCACTATCACCATCACTGACGCCTGTTCCAGTTGACAATTTTGATCAAACATTTAAGCACCTTTTCTTTTTCTTATTTCTACATTTATTTATTTCAATGTAAATGTTTGTTTGTTGCAAGCTCAATGTTGTCTGTATTGTATGTTTTTATTTATTCATGCAACCTCTTGGCCAGGTCACATTTACAGATGAGAAGTGGTTCTCAAACAGTTTACCTGGATAAATTAAGGTTAAATAAAATAAATTTATCCACAGTTTTTTTTATTTCATTGGAAGAGTATTAGAGGAAACCGAGAACAATATACTAAAATGTTGTCCTCATTGCCAGAGTCAGGTGAAATGAGATAGTTTTCTTGTTTTATTAGTTTTGTTTGATTAATGCTATTTCTGCTGTCCTTTGTCAGGTTCTGGTGAAGTCTGGTTGGATGAATTGCAATGTGCAGGAACAGAGACTGATATCTTCGACTGTCCACACAATGTCGTTGGGATTCACAACTGCAATCATGATGAGGATGCTGGAGTGCATTGTGTTTAGACTGATGATTTAAAAAAATCTATGTATTGTATTTCAAATTTTATCTTTTCAGCTTTATCGTCTTTACTGTTCAGACTGCCTAAAGGCTCCCACATGCTCGGGTGTACTGTGTGCGGTCCATGAGCCGCGCGGACTCCACGCATATTGTCCGCAGATGTTTGAGACTTCATACTCAAGCGTACTGACCGCCTGACAAATTCTTTAATTTCTCGCAATTTCAGTCATGGCTTCAAGGACAAGGATGAAAAGATAATTAGCATTTTAGGTTTAAAACAACAAAAGAAAAGAACTTACCCCGGATCTGAGCTATTTCCTCCAATAAATTTGTTGCTCGCTGAAAGCCTTTTGATTCCTTCATTAATGTATCATAAAGTTTCTATGTTTTTCTAATCTCCTCCATCTTTTTAAATTTTCACTACATTTTGTCCACAAATGACTCTGATTGTCAACTTTCTCTGCTTGGTGTCGAATCCAAAACAGTTTGACGTGAACTCGCCAGGTAGTTTTTTGTGCTGACACTGATAACGTGGACGTAAAAAAATTTTTTGTTTGAGTGCACCAGTCCGGCAGACGGCCACATTGATTCCGCCTCGAGTTCCTCGAGTGAAGTATGCCCGAGTATGTGGGGGGCCTTAACTCTAGATAGATCCTGTTTCTCCTGCTGAGCTTTGGAGTTCTCTGTGAAGGTCTGCGTTGGTTTTTTTGGCACTAAACTGCCAGCAGCAGGTCCTTTCATACTGTGGATTCCAAATCATGTGTTGGCACTCAAGTCGAGTTTGTAAAACATCAGGTCTAGGGCCRGCAAATAATTTACAGAAATTAAAAAACTACAAATGACTGCAAGCATTATATTTTCCATAGATGGTTTTAGGAAGTTAGGCTGATGTAGTTTTAAATCAATAAAAATATTCTGATGATTATTGTCATTTTGTCTGTTTTTTTTCTCTTTATTGTTTTATTTTAAAACAGCAGTAAACAACATCAAATGACTTGTCTCCACCTCAACACCCATCCTCAAAAGACAAGTGAAAGAAAGACAAAACAGTCTTTAAGTTGACAGCCCAGGTAGAAGGCTGCCACCTTATCATGGTGGAGAGGTTTGAGTGACCCACTGAACCTAGAAGCCATGTTGTCGGGGTGTTCATGTCCCCAGTAAAGTCACCCAAGGCAAACGGGTCCTAGGTGAGGGATCAGACAAAGTGCACCCRGAAGACCCCTAATGATGAGCACCACAAATGGACTTAGTGACGCGGGTCACCGGGGCCCCACTCTGGAGTCAGGCCTGGAGGTGGGGCACGTTGGCGAGCGCCTGGTGGCCAGGTTTTCACCCATGGAGCCCGGGCACAGCCCAAAGAGGAGACATGGGTCCCCCTTCCCTTGGGCTCACCACCTGTGGGAGGGCCGTAGGGGTTGGATGCAATGTGCAACGGGCAGTGGTTGAAGGCGGGGACCGTGGCAGTCAGATCCTCGGCTACAGAAGCTGGCTCTATGGACGTGGAATGTTACCTCTCTGGTGGGGAAGGAGCCTGAGCTGGTGTGTGAGGTTGAGAGGTTCCGACTAGATGTAGCTGGACTCACCTCGATGCACCGCTCTGGAACCAGTCTCCTTGAGAGGGGTTGAACACTCTTTCACTCTAGAGTTTCACATGCTGAGAGATGGCGAGCAAGAGTGGGCATTGCCCCCCCATCTTTGTGCCTGTATGTTGGGGTTTACCCCAGTGAACGAGAGGGAAGCTTCCCACCCCCTACGTGTGGGGGGTATGGGTCCTGACTGTTGTTTGTGCCTATGTGCCTAACACCAGTTCAAATTACCCACCCGTTTTTGAGTCCTTGCAGGGGTGCTGGAGAGCACTCCTAACGGGGACTCCCTTGTTCTGCTGAGGGACTTCAACACTCACGTGGGTTTAAGGGACTGCCTTAGAACTTAAAGTTATGAGGGAATTGT